GCAATGCCTGGAAGGGCTCCAAGCGTGGGAGACCTCCGCATGCCCTCAAATCCGCTCTTCAGTGCCCCAGATAGGGCTCTTCGAGGAGGGAAGGACCCAGCTCCCATGTCACTTCATGGAATCATGGAATGCTTAAGGTTGGAAGGGACCTCTAGAGATCATCTAGTCCAACCCCCTGCACACGCAGGGTCACCTAGAGCACGTGGCACAGGACTGCGTCCAAGCGGGTTTGAAGATCTCCAGGGAAGGAGACTCCACAACCTCTCTGGGCAGCCTGTTCCAGTGCTCTGGCACCCTCACTTTGCCCCAGCTGTGCTGCTCGATGCCACTCCAACACCCCCGTGCCATATTGGTTCCCCCAAGCACTGCATGTCACCGCTTGTCTTGCAACAGGGCCACCACATGGTGTCACTCGTTTTGCACGGGCCGGGGGCTGCTTTGTGCCCACCTGTCTTGCATAGGGTCACCATGCGGTGCCACCCCACTGGCACAGGGATGGGGCACAAAGTCACCTACCTTGCAGGGGGCCACGGCTCACGCGGAGCCGGAGGGATGTCAGGTTGGAGAGCAGGCGCTGGAAGCTGAAGGGGGACAGCGAGGGCTCCGCACCCTCCTCTGCCTCATGGAGCCTGTTGGAAAAGCAGCCGGGAGAAAGGGCAGGGCCCGGCTGGTGGCCAGGCTGGGCACAGCTACCGTGGGGACATGGTTAATCCTCCATTAAGCCCAAGCACAGGATGGCCTGGGACTTGAGTGCGCCCAAGGAAGGAGCTCAAGGGCTGCAGCGGGTACCTGAAGGTGACAACCTGCTTCCCACGGCCACGTGGGCTCTCGCTGTCACTGCTGCCTGGGGACAAGGTGGCCTGCAGTGCCACGGCCACGTCCTCGGCCTCCAGCTCCAGCCGTGCCCGGGGCAGGGGCAGGGGCCCTGCGCTCCCGTTCCCCTGCGCTCCCAGCTGCAGGGAGAGCAGCTGCCCGTAGCTGAGACGCTGGTTCTGCAGGAACTTCGCTGTGATGGGAAAGAGGAGGAAAGTCGGCAAGACCCACACATGCCAATGGCCTGTTCCCATTGCGATTGAAGCTGATTTGCCTCCTGTCACCCTCCTGGAGCAAGGCCAGCTCCAAAGTGACCTCCTGGGGTCCCAACCCACCACCACGGTCCCTTGCCGCAGCTCTGGGGATGCAACCAGCTCCTGCATCCATGTGCACTGGGTCAACAGCGGCCATTCGCTCAAGGGACAGTGCCAGGGGGATCCCTGTGCATGATACCTGGAGCAAGAAAATCCACCGGATCCTCTCCATCCCACTCGGCGAAGACCTCGCCGGCAGCCCAATGCAAAGGGATCGCGGTGCCGCCCGGCGTCGCGGCCGCCCAGCCCTCCGGCCCTGCGGGACAAGCACAGGGGAGGGGAAGCACCAAGTCACCCCGTGAGTCAACGGAGCAACTGGGTTTTGCTTCTCATGGCTCCAGCTCATGAGATTCTCTGATGTCTAGTAAAGTGCAAGCCCTTTCCCGCAGCTGAATCCTCTGTAATGCCTTGTTCGAAACAGGCTCCAAGGCCTCCCGCGCCAGAGAGCAGCGCAAGCCGCGCTGCTCCCTTCTGTTTGTTTTCTCTGATTTGGAGAAAGTATCTTGAAACTTTGGCTTCTCTGTCCATTCTGTGGTTCCAAAGCTGGAGCACGGAGGAAGCCCAGAGACAGACAGGACGTAATTGCATAAAGTTGGTTTCCTTCAGAAATAAGTTTAGCTCTCCTCCACTCCCAACAATTTATTACATCCAGCCCTGGGCCCCTGAAGGACAAACGCTTGGAAATCTCTCTGGGGACATGGAGTGGGCTGCGCTCAGTGGGGTCCCTTATCTCATCCCAAATCCGGACCCTTTCCCGCAGCCCAGGAAGTCTCAGGCTGATCCAGCTCAGCCAGTAGGTTTTGGGAACGCTTTGGGGGACTTGATTTAAGAGCAAATATCTGCACTCTGGTGAGTGCTGTCCCTCTGCAGTGCTGCCTGTGGGGGCTGAGCTCTCTCCAATCTGGCCCTGAACCTTTGGAAAAATCTGTCCTTAAACAAGGAGCCCGGGGTCGGCTTTAGCTCCTGCTGCAGGAAAGGTGGGGGGAGCCCTGGTGCAAACTTGGCGCCGTCTCAAGGCAGTGAACGCAGCAATACGACAAATTAAATGAATCAAGGGAAGGTTTTGCCTGGCACATTCCCCCTCTCCCGCTTGCCAGGTCCTGATGCCCTTGTGAGGATGCAGACAAGGTGCCAGGTGCCGCGCCGGGTCCCCCGGCCACCCGGCAGGATGCGGGCAGCGGAGCCGCCGGCAGCGGGATGCAGGCACCAGGCTGCGCGGCAGATGGCAGGGTTTCCTCAGGCATCCTGCACAGAGATGCCGGCCTTTCCAAGCATAATCCTGCTGGCAATGGGCAGCAAGCCCCATCCTGCTCCTGGGGACTGTCCTGCCCAGCTCCAACCCAGCTGGAGGTGGCATCCCCCGCCGGAAAACAACCACCAGGCTCCATCCTTGCAGCTTTTAATCTTTCTGCCCCGTATTTGCAGCCAGGCTGCCCTCACTGCCTGCAGCGAGCGCTGGACTAGGATGCCGCCCCAAACCGCTGGAGCATCCCAGGCTTTGGTGCCCCCCGGTGCAGGGTACCTCGCTCGAAGGTGGCGCGGAGCTGGGTCTCCTCGTAGCCGGCCGCGACCGTGCACGCCGTGGAGTGGCCGTAGCAGAAGCAGCTGCTGCAGCCGACGGGGTTGTGGGGCTGCAGGTTGAACCAACCCGGCCGGCACCTGTGGAAGAAACACAGAGCCGCGGGTGCCGGAGCCTCCATCCCGCAAGGAGAAGGGAGGCAGCTCCAAAGGAGCCGCATCCTGGGGGAAAAATATCCCTCCCCGCAGAGCCGCTCACCTGTCGCACGTGGCGCCCTCCACGTGCTCCTTGCAGACGCAGCGCCCCGAGTTGGGGTCGCAGGTGCCCACACTGCCTGCAGGGTTGCAGGCGCAGGCTCTGCACGGGCAAGAGCAACGTGAGCCCCGGCGCTGCTGGCCCCGGCGCGGGTCCCGGCGCCCTCCTCACCGGCAGCCGCCCTGGCCCAGGCTGTGGAAGCCGTCCTTGCAGCGCTCGCACTTCCAGCCCGTCACCGTGGCCTTGCAGGCGCAGGCGCCCGAGCTGTCGCACTGGAGGTGCAGGGAGCCTGCATGGGGACCCCCGCGATGTCAGGAGACGGGGGGACCTTCGGCACCAGGGATTCGGGGCATGCGGGGAGCAGCGGGGCTGTGCACGC